TAGAATAATTAATTATTATTATTATTTAATTAAGTAATAATTATTAATATATTTATCTTAATATAAACGATATTTTAATTAAGTTATTTATTTTATTATTAAAGTATCTTAATATTATAATTAGTAGTTCGAAAGCTCTCTATTAAAGTTTTTAATCTATTATACTAAGTATTAGAAGTATTAATAGCGCTTTTTATAAAATTCTATAAATTAGCGATAGATATAAAGATTATAATAAACTCTTCTTTAGTAATATTTATAAGTTATACTTCGATATAATCTAAATTAGATTTAATAATATATCTTCTAGAGATAGAACGCTTTTTCTTACGTTATGCGGATAATATAATAATATTTAAAATCTTTTTATTAGAGTTCTCGAGTTCTTCTAAATAATAACGTATTTATAACTTATTTATAACAATTTAACTTTATATATTATCTAGATTTAGAATTAACGAGTTTACTAATATTAAGCTAATAGAAGTATAAAAAAGATTTAATCTAAGATTTATTTCTTTTAATATATTAAAGATTTTTTTTTTTTAGATTCTTATTTAATCTAGCTAAATTAATCTTTATATAAATAAAAGACTTTCTTTTAAATAATCTTTTAAGTAGTAAACTCCTTCAGCTATAACTATTAACTTCTTAATAATATACTCTCTTCTTAACTATATATTTAGTATAATTAATAAATAAGTCGCTATTACTTTAGAAGAAAGATAAATAGTATTATATTAGAGACTTAATAATATATATAATAACTCTATATTATAGTATAAAGAGAATATTATTTATATAGAATTATTATAAATATAGACTTTATAGTAAGATAGAAAGATCGAAAGGTCTTAATACGCTAAGTCTAATTAGGCTATAATATAAGTAAGATCGTAAGATTATTAAAATCGTGATATTTAGCCTTTATTACTATCTACGATATTAGAGAGATAATAATTAGTATATATAACAGAATAAGGTAGGGCTGAGCTTGGAAACCTTGAATTTATATATACAGCCAATCATTAATTTAGATTCGCTACGCTCTTTGATTAGACCGGCTGAATCAGCCCGATAGCTCTCCCACGCCTCTCTCATCAAAAATTTATATATAGAAGTTTTACACTTTGAAGTACTTAGCTTGCGATATATATAGTTACTTTATAATTCCTTAAATTGTAAAGCTCGCTTTGCGCTTTCTAACGCTGTAAAAATTTTGAAGTTTGGCCTACTATTAGTGGATTAAATGGATATTTAAATATGGTAGTCATGGTAGTCACACCAGACGCGTCCGGGATCGGATAATAATCCTTCCACCTGTTTATTATTCTTCCACCATTCTACTAATTCTATTAATTCTACTAATTCTATTAATTTCATTAATATGAATACAATCGTCTTCGGTACCCCTCGCTCAATTAGAGCCCCTTACTGACGCCCCCAGGCCACCCCTCGACGAATCCGCTACTACTGGCAATCGAGGCCGCAAGCGAGCTTAACAGCTACCTACTACTGCTCATAAACGCGTTGAAAGGCCCTCAAAAAGAGTCCGGTTCAGGCACATATACCCCTTTTGCCCGCCTCTTAGAGGCCCTACTGATACCCCCAGGCCACCCCTCGGCGAATCCGCTACTACTGGTAATCGAGGCCGCAAGCGAGCCTAACAGCTACCTACTACTACTTATAAACGCGTTGAAAGGCCCTTAAAAAGAGCCTGAACGGATACGTCCTCCCCTACATACTCCTTCTAAGCCAGCGGTAGATGGGTTAAACTAATATTCAAATATTGTAGTTACACCAAACGCGTCCGAGATCGGATAATAATCCTTCCACCTATTTGTATAACTATTCTTCTTTCACCATTCTACTAATTCCACCAATATGAACACATTTACCCTCGGTACCCTCGCACTCAGTTAAATAAGAGGAGGATCTACAACAGGCGAATGCGGAGAACACTACGGAGAACATTGCGGAGACAGTCATCAGCAGCAGTGACACAACAGGCCTACTCTCCACGATCTCACACCAGCCCGATACTCAGTAAGAGGAGGAACCACTGCAGCAGGTAAATGCGGAGAATATTGCGGAGACAGTCATCAGCAGCAGTGACACAACAGGCCTACTCTCCACGGTCTCACATCAATCCACTCAGCTAGGGCAAGAGAAGTCACTACAGCAGGCGAATGCGGAGAACACTGCGGAGAAACCAAGCGGCAACAAGGCCCCCAGCACCAAGAACACGGCTCAGCTCTCCAAGATCCCACGTCATATGCTCTCCACGGTTCCACATCAAATCATCACTCAGCAAGCGCGGAGAACACCACTGCAACTAAGCCTGTCATCCCCACTACATTAAGGAGTAAGAGGAGGAACTACAACAGGCAAATGCGGAGAACACTGCGGAGAATAATGCGGAGAACACTGCGGAGAATATTACGGAGACAGTCATCAGCAGCAGTGACACAACAGGCCTACTCTCCACGGTCTCACACCAATCCACTCAGCCAGTGCAAGAGAAGTCAATACAGCAGGCGAATGCGGAGAACACTACGGAGAAACCAAGCGGCAACAAGGCCCCCAGCACCAAGAACACGGCTCAGCTCTCCAAGATCCCACGTCATATGCTCTCCACGGTTCCACATCAAATCATCACTCCGGAACGATGCATATTTGGACGAATTGAAACCGTCCGATGTCTACAGCTATGTCATTATTCGAAAAATTTCACTGCGGCAGGAGATATTGTGGAATTCACACCACTAATTGGCACGTTGTCTCCATTTCTTTCCGATATTTCGATACTTCTTGCCATAAGAACATGGCCTTTCTCTTTTTTTATAGGCAATTATTATAGCTTCCTAATTAGGCCTTAGCGCGCCTCTCTTCGCACATATGTGCCTGTATACTACATAGATTAAATTAATTTCGTAGTGGTGAAAGTAGGTCAAAAACGCACAGCAAGCGATCAGAGTTCGATTTGACTTAGGGCTAGGGCTAAAATTCCATTTGACTTGAAAAAATCCAACTCCATTTGACTTAGAAAAATTCAACTCCATGAATTTAATTCATGGGCCTTTACTTGTACTATTATTAAAAAGAGAAAGCGTCTTAATAGAATAAGTATTAATAATCGTATTATTTTATCTACTTTTAAAGAGAATAAGAATAATATCTAATAAAAGAATTTCGATATTTCGAAGATTTTTTATTATTATAATAGATATATAGAAGAGATTAATCGATTTAATATATTAATAACTATATATTCTTTTTATAGAGTTTATAATTAAATATAAATACTCTAATTTCACTAAAAATTAAATAGAAGTCTTTCGAATACTTTTAAACTCTATAAATCTATAGAAATATTTCGTTAAGAGTATTAGACGTTTCTTAAATAGATAATAATAAAATTATTTAAAAAAGATAGAGAAGATAAATAATCTCGATAATCTTCTATTCTACTTTCTACTCTATCGAAATTAATATAAGATAATTATAAATAATAAGACTTAAAGATCGTTCGATAGTATTTTATATATTATTTAGATCGTTAGAAGAAAGGATTTCGAAGGTTTAATAGAGAAATAAGTAGTAATAGTAAGAAAGTACGAAAGATTAGAGGGGGATACGCTGTCTATAAAATCTCTTTATATAAGAAAGAGACTTATATAGAACGATTTTACTATAGAAAGAATTAAATAGAGTCTATATAATAGATTACGATTATTTAATATAAATTATATAGTAATTTTATAGTAATAGTATAAATAATAATACTAGAATTCTTAAATATTATCTTTCGACGATTATCGAATAGCGAGAACGCTATTATTTTTCTTCTTCGATAATATTTATTACGAATTTCTCTACTAGGCGTCTCGATTAAGCTTAATATCTTAGTACTATAATACTATAAAGACTTCTTCTACTATAGATCTATATAGTTTATTATTAATATATATAAAAGAATAAGATAGAATTAAATTAGAAAATCTTAAATTTATATATATAGTTAATTATTAATTTAGAATTACTACGCTCTTTAGTTAGATCGACTAAGTTAGCTCGATAGTCCTCTCGCGTCTTCTTATTAAAAATTTATATATAGAAGTCTTATATTTTAAGGTGCTTAGCTTACGATAAATATAATTACTTTATAATTCCTTAAATTATAGAGCTCGCTTTACGCTTTCTAACGCTATAAAAATAATAAAGTTTAGTCTACTATTAATAAATTAAACTAATATTTAAATATAATAGTTATATTAAACGCGTTCGAGATCAAATAATAATTCTTCTATCTATTTATTTATGTAATTATTATTCTTCTACTATTCTACTAATTCTATTAATTTTACTAATATAAATATAATTGTTCTCGATACCTCTCGCGGAAACGTTACTAAACGTTTTAGATATATATACCCCTTTTACTCGCCTCTTAAAGCCTTTATTAACGCGAATCTATTACTGCTAGTAATCGAGGCCGTAAGCGAGCTTAATAGCTATCTACTACTGCTTATAAACGCGTTAGAAAACCCTTAAAAAGAGCCCGAACGGATTCACAGCCATCGTTCTCTCCTATATACTCGACCAGCCGCTTAATTAATACTACCTACCCTATTAACTCAGCAATCCACTTAGTTAGATCGTCAGCTAATCACTCAGTCATCCACTCAGTCAGTCACTCAGCTAATCACTTAGTCTGATACTCTATAAGAGGAGGAGCAAGAGGAGGAACTACAACAGGCAAATGCGGAGAACACTGCGGAGAAACCAAGCGGCAACAAGGCCACCATCGTCAAGAACACGGCTCAGCTCTCCAAGATCCCACGTCATATCAGTCATCCACTCAGTCTGATACTCTACAAGAGGAGGAGCAAGAGGAGAAACTATAACAGGCAAATGCGGAGAACACTGCGGAGAAACCAAGCGGCAACAGAGCCACCATCGTCAAGAACACGGCTCAGCTCTCCAAGATCCCACGTCATATGCTCTCCACGGTTCCACATCAAATCATCACTCAGCAAGCGGAGAACACCACTGCAACTTGGCCTGTCGTCCCCACTGCATTGATATGGGCGAGACAAGAGGCCTTACAAGCGAAGCAGACAGCCACTCAGCCAGCTCACCAATCCACTCAGTCATCCACTCAGCCAGCCACTCAGCCAGAGCACTCAGTCAAGCAAGAGGAGGAACAATCCAGTACGGAGAATATTACGGAGACAGTCAGCAGCAGCAGTGACACAACAGCTCTGCTCTCCACGATCTTATACCAGTCCACTCAGTCAATGTAAGAGGAGGAACCACTGCAGCAGGCAATTGCGGAGAACACTGCGGAGAAACCAAGCGGCAACAAGGCCCCCAGCACCAAGAACACGGCTCAGCTCTCCAAGATCCCACGTCATATGCTCTCCACGGTTCCACATCAAATCATCACTCAGCAAGCGGAGAACACCACTGCAACTTAGCCTGTCATCCCCACTGCATTAAGGAGTAAGAGAAGGAACTATAACAGGCAAATGCGGAGAACACTGCGGAGAAACCAAGCGGCAACAAGGCCCCCAGCACCAAGAACACGGCTCAGCTCTCCAAGATCCCACGTCATATGCTCTCCACGGTTCTATATCAAATCATCACTCAGCAAGCGGAGAACACCACTACAACTTAGCCTGTCATCTCCACTGCATTAAGGAGTAAGAGGAGGAACTACAACAGGCAAATGCGGAGAACACTGCGGAGAACACTATGGAGAACACTGCGGAGACAGTCATCAGCAGCAGTGACACAACAGACCTACTCTCCACGATCTCACACCAATCCACTCAGCCAGTGCAAGAGAAGTCAAGACAGCAGGCGAATGCGGAGAACACTGCGGAGAAACCAAGCGGCAACAAGGCCACCATCGTCAAGAACACGGCTCAGCTCTCCAAGATCCCACGTCATATACTCTCCACGGTTCCACATCAAATCATCACTCAGCAAGCGGAGAACACCACTACAACTTGGCCTGTCATCCCCACTACATTGATATGGTACATCACTGCAATAACGTTATAAGAGGAGGATCTACTGCGACGATCACAGTCAATTAGGCCTCTACAGGAGGAACATCGCAAGAGGAGGAACTATAACAGGCAAATGCGGAGAACACTGCGGAGAACACTACGGAGAACACTGCGGAGAAACCAAGCGGCAACAAGGCCACCATCGTCAAGAACACGGCTCAGCTCTCCAAGATCCCACGTCATATGCTCTCCACGGTTCCACATCAAATCATCACTCAGCAAGCGGAGAACACCACTGCAACTTGGCCTGTCATCCCCACTGCATTAATATGGTACATCACTACAATAACGTCACAAGAGGAGGATCTACTGCGACGATCACAGCCAATTAGGCCTCTACAGGAGGAACATCGAACGATGCATATTTGGACGAATTGAAACCGTCCGATGTCTACAGCTATTTCATTATTCGAAAAATTTCACTACGGCAGGAGATATTGTGGGATTCACACCACTAATTAGCACGTTGTCTCCATTTCTTTCCGATATTTCGATACTTCTTGCCATAAGGACATAGCCTTTCTCTGTTTTTTGTGGGCAATTATTACGGATCAATCCTTCACACTCGATACACCTTCCTAATTAGGCCTTAGCGCGCCTCTCTCCGCACATATATATCTATATGTAGGTTAAAAACGCACAGCAAGCGATTAGAGTTCGATTTAACTTAGAGCTAGGGCTAAGATTCGATTTAACTTAGAAAAATCCAACTTTATAAATTTAATTTATGGGCCTTTACTTATTATATTATATTATAAGTAAAGACCTATGAATTAAATTTATAGAGTTAAAATTTTCTAAGTTAAATCGAATTTTAGTTCTAGTTCTAAGTTAAATCGAACTCTAATCGCTTACTATACGTTTTTAATCTACTTTTATTATTATAAAATTAATTTAATCTATATAATATATAAATATATATATACGAAGAGAGACGTATTAAGATTTAATTAGGAAGATATAATATAAAGAATTAATTTATAATAATTGCTTATAAAAAATAGAGAAAGACTATATTCTTATAATAAGAAGTATTAAAATATTAAAAAGAAATAGAGATAATATATTAATTAGTAATATAAATTTTATAATATCTTCTATTATAGTAAAATCTTTCGAATAATAGAATAGCTATAGATATCGAATAATTTTAATTTATTTAAATATATATCGTTTAATATTTCTTTTATAAAAATTTAATTAACTATAATTATCGTAATAGATTCTTCTCTTATAATATTATTATAGTAATATACTATATTAATATAATAAGAATAATAAATTAAGTTATAATAATATTCTTCGCTTATTAAATAATAATTTAATATAAAATTATAGAGAGTATATAATGTGAAATCTTAGAGAGCTAAGCCGTATTCTTAATACTAGAGATTTTATTATCACTTAATTTCTTCGTAATATTCTTCGTAGTATTCTTTATAGTATTCTTCGTATTTATTTATTATAGTTTTTTTCTTATAATATTATTAATATAGTAAAAATAATAGATTAAGTTATAATAGTATTCTTCGCTTATTAAGTAATAATTTAATATAGAACTATAGAGAGTATATAACGTGAAATCTTAAAGAGTTAAGCTATATTTTTAATATTAAAGACTTTATTACTACTTAATTTCTTTATAATATTCTTTATATTCGCTAATTATATTAACTTCTCTTATATTAATTAAATAAATTAATATAAGATTATAAAGAGTAGATCTATTATATTATTACTACTAATAATTATCTCTATAATATTCTTCGCATCTGCAAATCTGAAAAGTTTCTACAAAATTTGAAATTGCTGATCGCGCGTTTGTCGCGGAAATTACAAAATCCGCCGAATTAGTAAATCTGATTAGAATTCGCTTAAATTCCGCCGATTTAGTAACTATCTTAATCTTTTCTATTAGTTCTATCAATTTAGCAGTAATACGTATAAAAAAAAAAAAGTTCTAATAATTAATATTACGACGATAAGATTTTACGACGATAAATATCAACGCTAACTTAAATTTAACTACGGAATTAAACGATTTAATAAAATTAGTCGTATAAGTAATACTCTAATAATAGCGTATAATAATACGCATATTAATAATAATATATATTGATATCATATATATATAGAATAGTACTTAGAGTATATTAGAGCGCATTACGAAAATTTTTTAAAGTTACTAAAAATTTTTTAAAGTTACTAAATTAATAGAACTGGCGAAAAGAATTAAATATAGATAAAGTCTACTTAATAGACTAAATCGTGCTAAATCGTACTTATAATACGAATCCGACGGAAATCGTATGAAAATTTACTTTTCAGATTTGCAGATACGTAATATTCTTTATATTCATCTATTATAAATTCTTCTCTTATTTAATTAAGTGCGAGAATATCGAGAATAAATATATTTATATTAGTGAAATTAATAAAATTAATAAAATTAATAGAATTAATAGAATTAATAGAATTAATAAAATAATAAAAGAAGAATAATTATATAAATAGATAAAAGGATTATTATTCGATCTCGAACGCGTTTAATATAATTATAATATTTAAATATTAATTTAATCTATCTATCGCTAACTTAGAAGAAATCTATAAAAGAGAATATATTCGTTCGAGCTCTTTTTAAGAGTTTTTTAATATATTTATAAATAGTAGTAAATAGCTATTAAGCTCTCTTACGACCTCGATTATTAGTAATAATAAATTCGCTTAGAGATAATTTAAAGGTATTAATAGAGGCTTTAAGAGACGAGTAAAAGAGATATATATATCTAAAGTAATCTTTAGATAAGAAGTATCGAAGACGTTAATAGAATTAATAGAATTAATAGAATAGTAAAATAAGAATAATTATATAAATAGATGAAAGGATTATTATTCGATCTCGAACGCGTTTAATATAATTATAATATTTAAATATTAATTTAATTTACTAATAATAGATTAAACTTTATTATTTTTATAGCGTTAGAAAGCGTAAAGCGAGCTCTATAATTTAAGAAATTATAAAATAACTATATTTATTATAAGCTAAGTACCTTAAAGTATAAGATTTCTATATATAAATTTTTAATAAGAAAGCGCGAAAGGGCTATTAGACTAATTTAGCCGATTTAATTAAAGAGCGTAATAACTCTAAATTAATAATTAACTATATATATAAATTTAAGATTTTCTAATTTAGCTCTATCTTATTCTTTTATATATATTAATTATTTATATATATAATTTTACTTAGAATTATTTCTTAATAAAATAATTCTATTAGAGACTTCTATAAAGGACTTTAATAATATTATATTAGATATTAATTAAGTTAATATTCTTATTAAGATAGTAATAGAAATAAATACTTATTAATATATAGATATATAGTAAATAATAAAAGTCTTTTACTATAGACTTTAAGAGTTTTCTTTATTAATTTAAGAAATGATTTAATATAGATTATTATCTAATTAATAAAGTCTTATATAATCTTTCTCTTTCGTTTTTAAAAATAAATTATAGTATTTATATAAATTATAATATTTATATAAGTTTAAATACTTATATAAATTATAATATTTAAATAATTCTAATATTTTTATCTATTATTCGTCTAGTAAATAGAATAGATATTAGCTTACATTTATAATATTTACTAGTTTTATTATATTAAATAAATTTTTAATTAAATATTAAATATTATATTTATAATTCTAGACTTTTTAATAATAAGTATTTAGATTTTTTATATATAATTTATTTATCTATAATTATTTTAATTTCGAAGTTATCTCTTTCGTTATAAATAAATAATAATTTTAAAAATGGGCGTAAATGGGTACGCGTACAAATGGGGGTAGACACGATTAGGGTTCGCTAGAAATCCAGGCATTTTTTTCGCCCTCTTTCTCCATGCTTTCAATAACCTCCATCCACAAGCCCGTCGACCCTCATCGATTGGGTAGCGGTATCTTTCAACGTTACAATGGTTACCCAGGCCGAGTACCTCACTGGCAATAAAGAGGGTATAGAGGAATTCATAAGTAGATTCGATGTAAGTCAATAGACGATGTCCTTGCCTCTCAACGTCTTTATCCGGTCTCTGAAGGTGTCATTGCCTTTCGCTCATGGGACTGTCAGGTCTTCCTGTTTGACTGCGATGGTGTGTGCTCACCCACAATTTCGCAATATCTTGACTCGTCCATTGGCAGCCTGGACCAGTCGCATTTTGAGCGACGAATCTAAAGATATAGAAGGATAGGCGTCTTATGGTCTGGAGAGCATCTATTCGAAGGAACAGTCGAGACCCTCGAGCTGCTGCGCAGTAAAGGTCGAATCTGCTCCGATAGGCCTCACTGAAAAATTCAAATTGACCATTGCATAGGCAAGCAAGTCGTCTTCGTCACAAACAACAGCACAAAGTCTCGCGCCGACTACAAGCAAAAGCTTACAAGCATGGGAATCCCGGCTACTGTTGTACGTCTCTCTGTTGAGCGTCCTGTGCTCCTTCGCTCAAGTGAAGGCGACTAGGATGAAGTTTTTGGCTCTTCCTATAGCGCCGCAATCTACATCTCCCGCATCCTCCAATTGCCTTCGAACAAGAAAACCGTCTTTGTTCTTGGCGAAGCGGGTATAGAGACTGAGCTCGACGGCGAAAAGGTTCCCCGCATCGGCGGTACAGACCCTTCTTTAAATCGGCTGATAGGGAAAGACGATTACGCCGACATTGCATCCGGGACATCTCTAGACCCTTCTGTCGGCGTGGTATTGTGCGGTCTTGATTTCCACCTCAACTATCTGAAGCTCAGCCTGGCCTTCCACTATCTCCGCCACGGCGCCGTCTTCCTCGCTACAAACATTGACACCACCTTACCCTCATCATCCACTCTGTTTCCTGGCGCAGGTGCCTGCTCAGCACCTTTGGTGGCTATGCTGGGAGGCAAACAGCCGACGAGTCTGGGCAAACCGAGTCAAGCCATGATGGATGCTATTGAGGGGAAATTCCAATTCGACAGGCAAAGAGCCTGCATGATAGGGGATCGGCTGGACACCGATATCCAGTTTGGGATCGAGGGGGGCTTGGGTGGAACGTTGTGTGTGCTTACGGGTGTTACGAAGGGGAAACAGGATTGGGAGGATGGGAAGATTGTACCCACGGCTTGGGTGGATAAATTAGGCGATCTAAGGGAGGGCGCCTGAAGATGCTCAGGTTCGTAAAAGCCTCGTTGAAGATTGAAACACTGAGCATGTTTGAGATGTATTATTGTGTTTTTCAGATCCATGAGAGTATAGTTTAGTGAAATTGTTGTTACTCAGACACAGCACAGTGCTAGGCTAAAGCTACCCATAATATTTACCATGTGAGTCTCGCTCCATGCGTCAAAATCCCTGACGCCTCGCTTCTATCCAATAAGTGAACTGTTGCTATCTAGTCTCACCTCTGACTAACAGCTTCATGGATCGTCAGCCTTTTCTTTCCATTTCGAGTCTCGGCGGAATTGGCTTCACATTCAGCTTTCGATTTCCATGCTCCCTGCGGCCAATCCCTGACATGAGTGGATGTCCGCCATAACATCCGCAAAGACTCTATTCAACTGAAGGGCCACTTCCCCCCTGTCCCATTCCCCTCTGGTCCTCCAGATTTCATTCATCAATGCCGAATAGACTTGCTCCAGTTGTTCAATACTGCAGCCACTTGTCTGGGCAACAACATTGTGAAGCAGATTGGCGCTGAGCGCTTGGTCAATTATCAGTTGGGGTTGAAGAGTAGCGAGAGCTCTAGAGGCACCAGGAACGGGGTCGTTGAGAATGGAATTGATGTCGGTTCTATCGCGATGAAACAATGGCACCGCCGGCGTTTGTGACAAGCGCTCCGGTTGAGAAAGCTGACCTTGGGAGCTAGAAGGATCGCTAGGGTTGCTGTTGGGGAGGGCAGATGATTGGGAAGCTAGAAACGTCAGCAGATCAGACTTGTGCAGCAAACGCTATGTTTGAGATGGAAGAAAGCTTTCGCGTACCTTGAGTGTTACCTCGAGTGTCAGGAAGCTGAGAGTTCGCTTCCGCTGTGTCGGGGAAAGCGGAGAAGTCTGGTCCCTCAATCTTGCCTGTTGTGCTTTGGGTGTTCTTGTCGGCAGACGATCCCGTATTCCTCTTATCTGACGAGGTGGTTGATGCATAATTTGTATAGTCGGCCAAATTTGAGCCTTCAGCTAAGGGCGTAATCAGACTCTTCTGAGAGAGGCTTCCGGGTATTGATCTTCGCTGGTCAATAGAAGCAGGGCCCCCAGTATAGGAACCCAGAGGGCGAGTCTGAGCAGAAGGTCCGAACGAGCTGCCCTGAGTCTCTCTTTCGGTAGATGGTGCATCATCACTAGGAGATGTATGAATATTGCCCTCGCCGCGAGAAGGTACGGAAGTACCGTTACTCTGATGATGTCCGTGGAGATTGCTAAGATCTGAGAGTCCGGCAGACAAGCCGTTCGTAAGTGTACTAGGCTGCGATGGATTAGAGGGTGTTGTCGGATGATGGGTTGTTAGACCATTTATGAGGGGCTGTCCAAGCACAATTGGACCAACTGAATGCTCCGTCGCCGATGCCCCAATATCACCCGGCGGCACGTTTGATGGAATGATAGCCAACTCCCGCCCTTCTACCGCAGCGAGTCGCTTAGCCTTTTCCACCATTTCTCGTTCTCGCTTGGTCTCTCGGACGTAGACGTTTTCGAGCTCGGCTGCTAGCCATGGTTCTTGTACTGCAATATACTCCATGTCCACCTCGACATTAGCCTGGAGCTCATTTGCCTTGATGAGCCGGTCCTGATCGTCGATTGCCTTGGCGTCTTTGGCTAACTTCTTAATGTCTGACGCAAAGTCTTTAGGCCTCTTGTAGTAACCGTTCGACAAACGCTTTTCAATGGTGACTATCTCCATATTATAAAAAAATTTGCCTGATGCTTCATTGATCAGTCCGGGCTCGCCGTGATCATCTGTGGCTTTCTCAAAGGGCCGCGATGGGTCTGGTTGCCGCTCCTCTGGCGGTAAGTCTGTGGTGATAATGTTTGGGTCTTCCTCCTCATACAAGTATCTTATTTGGGTTTCATCAATCACCCCAGTCCTAAACTTCTTGTACCTTAGTTTGATCTGGTCCATAATTGGCTGTATACGGAGTTTCAACAGGTTGAGATGTAGCCTATCCTTTTTCTTCTGCGCCTTTTGCTCTGCTTTGGTAGGAGCTGGCGGCTCCTTGGGTGGTTCAGGGGGGACGGGCATAAGGACTTCGAACCTCCTCTTCTTCCGATTCGTAGGCTCTGGAAAATCAGCTGGAGAGGCGTTGAGTTGATCTATGACAGCATTGAAGTATTCGTGGCGGGATGGCTAATGGCATATGAGCAAAATAATTGCATAATCCGGCTCACCAAAGCTTACCATTAATGGTCTCGGGATATCATATTGATTCTTTCTCGAAAAGTAAAATAGATCCTTGATCATTTCCCGATCAATGTCCCGCTCATCACACTCTACGATTCCGAGAAGTAAGATTGGGTCTGTGGGGGCCAACGTCCGTAGGAGACTAAGAAATGTCGAGATGACGGGCTTCCCCACTGTTCCGTACCAGGTGTCCACGTTAGGAATATAGATAACACTTGGCTTATGTCGTCGGACTTCGGTGAAAAGCTGCACTACGGTAGCTTCCGGTGACTTCAGCATTGTTAGCTAGGAGATGCCAGCCGGAGCAAGCCCATCATACCCTTGTCGAGTCGCTCAAAAGCGTGGGAAGGTCAAATGATTGCACGTGCAGGCCTTCGAAATGGTTCAACAGAGCTCCAGCAAGGTACTGTTGTCCCATGCCAGGTGCGCCTTTGATAAGCAGCCTTGGCCGAAAAACACGAGACCGCTCGAATTCTAGTCACGGTTCAGTACTAAGGTATGCCCGGTGGGGAAGGGGGGAAGGTTGTCAAATACCTTGCTGCATGCGTTCCGCCACCATGCCTCGATCGTCTTCTGCATCTTCAAATTCGGCTTCTTGAAGGGCCGTTAACCGCTTTTTCTGGGGTAGAATATCAGCCACTAGACTCTCAATATCGGCAAGTGGATCTCGTAGCAGAGGCTCGATCTGCTCTGGCAAAGGTGCCGCGCCAGACGACGCGGATCTTTCGGATGATGGGACCATCTTTTTCACAGAAATCATGAAATCTTTGGCTGCGACGTTGATCGTCTCTGGCCTGATTTGGAGTTTCTCGTTGGATTTGTATATCTGCGGATACCGTCTTTGCACTGCGTTCAGAGCTGCTTCTGTACATAGTGCACGAAGATCAGCTCCGCCGTATCCCTTGGTCAGTTTTGCAATTTCATTCTTGAAAGTAGAAGTCAACGGAGGATCCCAGCCTTTTGTATGGATGTCGATTATGCTTCGTCGGGCTTCCGTGTTTGGCAAAGGGAAATAGAATTCCCTGTCGAATCGACCGGGTCGACGGAGGGCAGGGTCAATTGAATCGGGGCGATTGGTGGCTCCAATGACAATGACTTGGCCTCGACCATCCATACCATCCATAAGGGCCAGCAGTGTCGAAACTATGGAAGCATGAATTTGGTCCTGCTTGCTAGATCTAACAGGTGCAAGGCCTTCGTCGGCGTCAGTAAGAGGCAAACAGTACATCCTGTGCGGCGCTGCTTACCGTCAATCTCGTCGAAGAAGATGATACTTGGCTGGTTTTTGCGTGCTTCTTCAAACAAGAGTCTAAGCTGACGTTCTGCCTCACCTACCCATTTGCTCAAAACATCTGCGCCTTTACGCATATAGAAAGTTACTTTCCGTCCTTGTGAGCTGACACTGTTGGCAAGGGCTCTTGCTAACAATGTTTTACCAGTTCCGGGTGGTCCATGGAACAGCACACCTCGAGGCGGCGTCACGTGGAACCGTTGAAAGACCTCCGGGTAGAGCAGAGGTAGAGCGACCATCTCCTTTAGCTGGTCTACGTGGCCTTGCAGACCACCAACGGCATCGAAATTTACATTCTGATCGACTCCCAGAGGATCCGCATCCGCGAGAGCTTGTTTTTCCTTAACCTTCCCGAGGTTCGCAGGAGTTCCAGAAGGCCCTTGGAGAGGATCAGCACCGTGCAGTTGACCAGGAGGCGGAGGAAAAAGGCTCGGGCCGGCGGGGTGTGCGGTAGTCGGCGTCATGCCAACAGCTCCTCCAATACCAGCTGGTCGTGAACGCTGCGCGATCTCGTCATCGCTGCTGTCAGAATCCGCACCAGCGACAGCGCCAATGCCTCCTGGACCACCGAATACTGGAGGGGGACCGCCTGCGCCACCAAACGGGCCGTACGTCGAGAAAAGACTTCTCTGCCAAGTTCCGCCTGCGCCACCACGTCCTCTTCGAGATGGAGTTGTTGCCGATGGCTCCCCATCATCGTCTAACGTTAAAGCAAGGTCCGGCCGCAGAATACGATAATCTACAGGCTTTCGCTGCCGTGTCTTGGGTTTTTCGTCGTAGAGGATGCCCGCCGTTCTGGCAGCTCGACGAGAACGGCTTCCTCGTAATTCATCCAACTCCTCTGCGAGCTCTTCGGCAACTTCGCTATCGTGCTCGTCGGAAACTCGTTGACTGCGAGGATTGATCTTTCGACGTTTCGGACCTCTCCGAGCAGGAGTACTGTCATCTTCGTCATGCTGCCTACTAGCCTTACGTGGAGAGCCAGACAAAGCTTCTGAATCTGAGACATCTTCTTCACCGCCTTCCTCGACTCCGGGCTCAAAGTCACTGCTTTCTTGCTGACCGCTTCTCTGAGAACTTCGAGTTTTGCGCTTACCAAGGGTTGATCGTACAGCATGGCGTGTCGATCGACCACCTGAACGGCTTGCTGCTTCATCGGCACTATTTGCTATACGCTTGCTTCCACGTCGCCTTAGGTTCCGGCCAGGTTTGTTTATTGGGTCTTCATCATCTTCATCCTGGGGGCCATCGTCTTCAGACTCAGGAATGACAGCAACTTCGTCGTCGGCTTGGATTATGTCTAATTCTTCTGGCCGTGAATTTTCAGTCGCTGCTGTAGAGTGCGCTTGAGGGTGTTCGTCCTTGTTACCTAGATGTTCTCGACTGGCAGCGACTTCGAGTCGGTTTCCCTCGTCCTGGAGCTCATCAGTATCGAAATGCTCTTTCGTCCTTGTTGAGCTCTCTTCGTCTTCTTCGTACA